TAGTTTATTACAACAGTAATATTAATATAGTTTATTAAAAAAGAGTTCTCGAAACAACGATACAGCGAACGAAACGAAACGACGTAATTACGCATTGATTAATACATATGGGCAAGAAATTTTAGGTTTCACACTACTATAATCGACGAGAAATCGTAGTTTCACCGTTCTAATTAATAAAGTCTGATGAAATCGAAAAGATTGCGACACGTTAAAAATATATATATACGAAAGTTGAGAACGTGAACGTAAACCCTAAGTTCGTCACGCTTCATTTCGTGCTGTACTACGAATATTTTTTAATAACGTGAATTTATAGTCTCTTAATTTGATGAAAAGTAAGAGGCAGAGAGATGAGATCGAGATAAGAAACGATTTCAATGCTCGTTATATAACAGAGACACGGTCGATGTTCTCGCGATAAAAAACCAAAGTCTGTCGTTACGACATGGTCTTTTTTTTGAAAGGAAGCACTTGGACGAACGTTGCTTCTATCGATTGTTTTGCAAACAAAAAATTCCTTCCGGGTGGAAAAAATTTGGTTCGAAAGTTTTGGATGAAACGACGAAGAAACGCGTATGTAGAATTTCTAATTTTACAATAACGCAGTTCAATATTTCACGATAATATAATGAATAATGTAACGTGATAATATGTTTATATAATAGTTATGTAACGTAACGTTTATATAATAATGACGACAAAGGTAATTAATGATACAATTTTATAACGTTATAACGATGTAAATTTGTGACTTTGTAATACTGTAAAATATAAATATGCAAAAGTACAAAATGCAAAATACGGTATAGAATAAGGTAAAATACTTTGTAATAATATGAAATATTTATAATCTTACAAGAATATAATATAACATTTTATAATATTTTATAATTTATTATAAAATATTTATATTATAAGAATATAATATAATATATACTATATTATATATATAGTATATAATATAAATATATATAATATATATAATATAATATATGATATATATAATCTTATAACAATATAATCTATAATTTATAATGTAACATATAATTCTTTAATATGAATATATTTATATGTATAATATACATTTAATGTATTATATATATATATATATATATATATAATATAATATATGATATATATATGATATATAATATATAATCTTATAACAATATAATCTATAATTTATAATTAAGATATATTATAACTTATAATTTATATTTAATGTAACATATAATTCTTTAATATGAATATATTTATAAATAATAACATTATGTGTATTTTTTATAAATAATATCATTATATGTATTTAGGATTGCGCTATTTAAGAAGATGACTGAGACAGACTATATTAAATATGTATATATTAATTATATTAGACAGAGTATATTATATATGTTATAATTAATGATAATAGGAAATAATATTAATATACGTATGTTCAAATATTAAAGCTTCGTATCATCACGTGTTTTCAATCATGCATATTTTCCTCTATATCTAGAGAACAGATATCTTAGATTGAATTAAGTTCAACAATTTCATCTTCAATCATATTAAAATTGGAAAATTATGGAATTTTACGAATGTAACATGTACTCAAAATACAAATTCAAATTACATATTACATTTAATAGAATTTATATTCATTTAATAATTATTAATTTATTTGGAATGTTATTTCCAAGAATATATTTCTAAAGAATTTATTTGGAATACTATTTTTAAGAGTATATATGTATATATCAATTACAGTTATTAAAATTAATTATAGCTATTGTTCACGTAAGAATTGTATCAACAGAAATATTAATTTAAATATTGGACTTGGAAAAAGAAAAATGACAATTCACAAGAAGTCGAGAATTTTCTGATACATTCATTTCTCAAAGTTCCAAAATAAATTTCCAAAAAAAAAAAAAAGTCGTGCAGCAAATCCTGAGGGATCGTCGCAAAAGACTTGAAAGTCTGTTACGAAAAAAATCTTTCCAACGTTTTCACACCCCAGTTCATGCCAATTCACAACATTCCCGAGAAGAAAAGTGCCTTCACTTTTTCCATCAGCTGCGTGATGTGAAAACATTTCAGAATAAACCGAACGACGCATCCTGAAAGCAGAGAAAGCCCCTCGAGCTTCCTCAAACGAGCTCAGTTCATCGTTCCACGATTCTTTTTTCATTTTCTTTTTTTTTCTTTTTTAAATACAATAATATAATTTAAATACAATAATATAAAAACATGTATATGTTATAATTATACTATAGTGTACTATACTATAGTATAACATACTGTAGTGCACTACAGTATATTATACTACACTAAAGTATAATACAGTAATATAATTACATGTATATGTTATAATTATACTATAGTGTACTATAGTGTATTATACTATAGTGCACTACAGTATGTTATACTATACTAAAGTATAATACAATAAGTCACAACAGTTCAAATATTTGAATTATCGAACGTCGACGGCAGTTACTGTTTGATGGAGGAAGAAATTGATTTCAGTGTTGGTGGAGCAGCGACGACGATCTAACGACAATCAGGAAAAAAGTGGAATAACGCGGATGTGGCGAACGAGGCCACCTCCGGGAGTAGGAGTTGGAAGAGCGTCTCTTTCACCGCGATTTTCGACCCGAAGGCCAAGGTTAACTGGGAAAACGGAGCGAGGCGAGGGGGCAGGATTCACGGACGCGCGAAGCCGAATTCGTTGCAACGAGTTGTCCGGGTCCTGAATAACACCCAGACCGTAGAAGACGAGAGAAAGTATACGTGCCTCGACGCGCGATCCCCCTTGTCACGAAAGCAAAGAGAAAAGAGCCGCGACGTGACGCGCTTACCGAGACTTTTCATTCAATCATCGTGGACAATGCTCTTTCGTTCGTTGGAATTCGATTCTCTTTATGGGGTGGAAAGAAAGGTGAAGGGGGGACACGCTGGTGTATGATTTCATGAATTTCGTAGGATATAGTATGTTGCGGATCGAGTACAATATACGTGTATACATGAAATGTTGTAATATAATATTTCATGCAGTGTGCTGTGATAATTAAAATATAATATAACAATATTATATTATTATACGTACATGTATATGTTATAATTAGACTATAGTGTACTATAGTGTATTATACTGTAATGCACTACAGTATATTATACTATACTAGAGTATAATATAATAATATAATTACATGTATATGTTATAATTATACTATAGTGTATTATAGTGTATTATACTATAGTGCACTACAGTATATTATACTATACTAAAGTATAATACACTACAGTATATTATACTATACTAAAGTATAATACACTACAGTATATTATACTATACTAAAGTATAATAATAATATAATATAATATAATTACATGTCTATGTTATAATTATACTATAGTGTATTATAGTGTATTATACTATAGTGCACTACAGTATATTATACTATACTAAAGTATAATACAATAATATAATTGTATAATATAATAGAGTACTGTACCATACAGTATAATACTATAATATAATACAATGATACGTTAATTATATTATAATATAATTATATTAATTATATATATAATTGTAATGATACATTAATTAAATTATAATATAATAATATAATATTATATAATTGCATAATTATATATTATATATTATAATATAATATAATTATATATTATAATATAATACAATACTATAGTGTACTTTAATTATAAAATATATAATTACATAATATGTATAACATTATAATAATTACAAAATAATGTTACAATATTATACGTATATAACTGTATAATATAATATTGTCATATCTTACAATATTATACGTATATAACTGTATACTATATTGTATTGTCATATCTTATAATTATACAATTACGTAATATGTATAATAAAATATAACAATGTATTATAACAATTTCAATACCACAATGTATACATATATGTATACAATGTGTTATTATATATTGTGTGTATTATACATGTAACAGTCAAATATAAAATATACATCATATACATAACATACATACACATTATATACAATGTACATAATTATATAATATTACAATACATATGTATACACATATTTTACATTTTACATAAGTCGTAATTACAATAAATACAATACATACAGTATAATTAAACGCAATAAATATAAAAAAAACTTTATACAATAAAACTCTCTTAATATATTAATCTTAATAACTGTATCATACGTTGTATTATTATATTACATGCAATAAAATTAAATTAAATACAAACAAACATAAAACATACTTTATACAATAAAGACTCTGTTAACACTTTCTTGGGGGGACATTTGAAATGATAGGCTGCGCATGAAAGATATGCATCATCTATTACAAACCATTTACAGAAATTTTATAAATAACCGTGCAATTTTTATTATTTTAACGAATTTTTATTATTGTAACTAATCTCACACTTTCGTTTCTTTTTTTTACAAGTAACATCTTAAAAGATACGAATATTCTTGTCAATTATCATTCAAATTATAATGATTTATACGGTCAACAGACATTTTCATTTAACTATTCATATCATATATATATATATATATTTTGCGGCAAGTGTATTTGTATATTAAATGTCATACATAATCTAACTTTGAAGAACACTGTAGAATATTTTTCCTAATATAAAATATATTTACTATACAATAAATATACTAATTTCTTGTTCTAAATAATAATACAAAACATTTGATGACATTACTAACTATTATTCACAAAAAAACGAATACATAATACTAAATAGTAATATTATTGAATAAAAGAATTATATATATATGATATAGTCATGATAATTGTGCCTTACTATATTTTAATATGATATTATATATATATATATATATATGTTAATCCAAACCAAAGTCAAGTACACTTGCCGCAAAAGTGACATATCGTGTCGCATATCATTATGAAACATAATATTAAAAATAAAAGTGTCCTAAGTGACAATTGAGCGGGAGTTGTTGCAGGCCGGACAACGAACGGTACCGCGGTCAGGACGTGATTTTCGAGGCTGGCATTGAGAGGAGGAACCTCTCTCGGCTGGTTTTCACTCTCGGCACTCGGTGTTCACCGAGAGCTACTCTTTGCTCGCAGCGTTTCCTCGCTGCCATTTGCCGGCGCGCGTTCGTCGTGCACGCGAATCGCCGAGCGTATTCTTCGAATCGCGTTTCGCAAGCTCGCTGGAAAAAGCTCGCGGTGCACCATGAGAGAGTGCTGTGAATAGAACGGAGAGAGAAGAAGTGGCTGCCTGCGTCTTCCAAAAAAGAAATAGATTATCGTACGTATCCGTTTGAAGATCGATGGCTCGCGATCGTTTAACTGAGAAATTGTTGTTTGCAGTGAGTAACTGTTGTTTCTAATCACTCTGTGGTGAAAATGTGGGGCTTAAATTTGATAGCAAAGTGAAGATAGTGTTCGTCAACTGCGTTTCTAATGTTAACGTTCGTATTTTTTTTTAATTATTTTAAAGAAACGTTAAAATATTAATAATACCCTGTTGATAATAACAATATTATTCAACATAATTTATTAAACATAAATTATTATTTAACATCATTTGTTAAACATAAATTATGACTTAACGTAATTTATTAAACGTAAATTATGATTTAACGTAATTTATTAAATATAAATTATTATTTAACATAACTCATTAAGCATAAATTGTTATTTACATAAAATAATTTATTAAACATAATTTAGTAAACATAATTTAATAATATTGTTGATTAACATTGTTATTTAAAAGTGAGGAAATATTGTTATTCCTTTTATTCAATAATATTACTATTTAGTATCACATATTCATTTTTTTGTGAATAATAGTAATCAAGTGTTTTGCGTTATTATTTAGAACAAGAAATTAGTATATTTATTGTATTGTAAATATATTTTATATTATGAGAAATATTCTAGATTATGTATGACATTTAATAATTGACAAATAAATTAATCAAAAATAATAAATTAATAAGGAAACACAGTGAATAATAAATAAATTTAGTATAATAATGATCTTAGCCATCAAAGATAGCAATTGCATATTATCATATTTTAATAATAATTGATAATTCTGTCAATTAAAATAATCACATAGTGCAAATGTTATACAATAAATCGTTTGTTATTTTAAACTAATAATAATTCGCGTTCTGTTATTTTAATCAAATTAACAAAACAAGTATCGTTAATTATTAATTCATAAGAAAAATAGCTTGCTAACGAAGAGAGAAAACTTCGTGAAATTTATTTGTGCGAAACTAATCCGACTATAGTAATCACATCTACTAATTAAATGAACTCTTTGTGAATATCAACGCAGAATTGCTTCCTGAATTCTTTAGTGAATTCAATAAAATAAGATTTAATAAATCAGCTTATTACTCGAATAAATATTTATATTGACTTTCTAATGACATTTCAGTTTAATCCTAATATTAAAGGAATAAGTGTAATAACAAAAACTATAAAAACTATAAATACCTAGTGATAAATAATTTCGCGGATTAAAATTTAAAATATTTAGTTGCGAATATTTCATAATATCATTATTACACTATAGATTTTATAATGTAATATATAATAATTTTATTGTATTATATATTACATATTTAAATATTTTTAATTTTTATTTATTATATATTTATTTATTTTCAATTTTTATTTATTATATATTTATTTAATGTCAATTTTTATTTATTATATATTTATTTATTTTCAATTTTTATTTATTATACATATATTTATTTATTTTTAATTTTTACTTACTATACATTTATTTATTTTTAATTTTTATTTATTTTCTATTTATTTATTTTTAATTTTTACTTATACATTTATTTATTTTTAACTTTTACTTATTATACATTTATTTATTTTTAATTTTTATTTATTATATATTTTATTCATTTTTTTATAATGTTATCGATGCGATATTAAATAGCGAAAAAAAAATATTTATAATATATAATAATGCACCATTTGAATGTTGACACTGGTCCAGTGAAGATTCTACTTAATAAAACCAACAAATAATAAGAATTTAACTCAAATGCCAAGCAGTTACGATCGGCAATTTCAGTGAATTTTAAGGCAAGCTTAAATTTTAGGTAATCAGGCGTTTGTGAAAGTTTCGTGTGGCACGCTAGTCTCGTCGAATGGCAGCCAGTTGCACGTGGTTCTCACGCGGTGGAATTAAGTGGAAATGGCAATAGGGCTGACCACGTTGTTCAGTACTACTTCGATCCTCGGATTCAGCCTGATTCCCCTGTTAGCCATTGGCTTGACCGTGTTCCGGTACAACCAAGCGGATCCAGAATCTCATCCGAACGATGCACGCCAGGTTTGCCTCGTGCTTCAATTTATAATAATAGCCAATTTCATTCGAGCTTAATGTGCAGTGGAAATTTAATTTGTACAAGACGCTATTTCACTGATAATTTTTTTTTTTCTTTTCTCTTCGAAATTGTCAACATCTGAACACATTTTTGTAAACGATATAGAAAGTTCGAAACTAAATATCGGCTCTCGGATTTTAATTTTGGATTTTTCATTTTAAATGTTCCGAGTGGAATTGACGTTGTTAACGATCTTCTAAAATTCTCGATTTCAATTTTAAATATCCAATTGGAATAACGTTCACGTTTTTTTTTTTAATTTTAAATGTTCAATTTCAGTTCTTTTGAATTTTTAACTTTCAAGATATCTAACTTTCAAGATAATAACGTTAATCTTTTACAACTGTAGATTCTGATTTGAAAAATCCAAACAGAGTGGTAATAAGCTTTCATTCTTTAATTTTGAATGTGCAACATCAAATATTCAGCTTTAGATTTTAATTTGAAATATTAGCGTAATTAATAACAATATATAATTATATAATAATATATAATATATTATATAATTATTTAATAATAATGATATATAATATACATTATATAATTATTTAATAATAATAATATACATATATAATTATTTAATAATAATAATATATATTATATAATTATTTAATAATTATAATTTGATAATGGTTATTGAATAATGATTATTTCAAATTATATAATGATTATTTTAAAACGCGAAATTGTACAAAATGCGTGTGATATGACAAAACACATCCAAATTATATTCCTTCCTATAATCGTTCCATCGAAGATCCTCGTTTTTAATCAATTTGCACAAGAATTTGCGCGCTCTAATTATAACGGAATAAAATTTTTGTCAAAAATATTAATTTCCTTAGCCAATTTTATTTCGTGTCCTCGTCTCTTTTCCCCTATACAAACTTCATATTAAATCTAAAACTGCTTCCTTCAAATCAACTGTATCGATTAATCAAAAAATTCACAACCGTCATTACCGACCGTCGGAATAACAGTTCCCAGCCACAGACTTTCTCCAATCTTCCATTTCAACACAGCACGCGTCAACATAGTTTCAAATTACAAATATCATGTTTCCACAAATCAACGTTCCTTCTTGTTTGTTCCAGCTACTACGAGTGTACGATTTCATAGTGATCGGCGGAGGCAGCGCGGGCGCAGTGGTAGCATCGCGATTATCGGAAGTGTCCAATTGGACCGTGTTGCTAGTAGAAGCGGGCGGCAATGAGAACGAAATCTCAGACGTTCCTGTGCTGGCTGGTTACACCCAGCTTTCGGACATGGACTGGAAATATCAAACGTCGCCACCGACAGTGTCAGCTTACTGTCTCGCCATGATTGGCGATAGGTGTAACTGGCCGCGTGGGAAGGTTCTTGGTGGCAGCAGCGTGTTGAACGCCATGGTTTATGTCCGGGGTAATCGGTAATTCAGCGTCGATTCATCGAAAATAAAATTTCATAAATCTGTCTTTCGTACTTTTTCTTTTTCTTTCTTTTTTTTTTTTTTTTCTAAGTCTTTTTCAGAAGTCAAAAGTTTCACAAGATTAATGTTATGTCTTTCAAAATTTTCAATTAGAATTGAAAATCTAAATATTAAAATCTAGATATCTTTCAAAACTTTCAATTGAAATATGAAGATTATAGAAGAGTAAATTATAATTATTATATTATATTACAAAATTAATATTATTCAATTATAATTGAAATCAATGATAAAATATTATTGTTATATACAATTATATAATTATGTATAGTAATATATAATTATATAATACAATACAATATAATAATATATAATAATTATTGTTTTAATACTATGATCTGTAATATAATGAATTATTATATGTGGAATTATTACGTACATATTATAATATTATTATAATGAAAAAAAAAAGAAAAAACGATTGATGGATACAGAAACACAGATTCCTATTTAATTATATACTAATACTGATGATAATAAATGATTCGTCCTGAGAAATCTTTTCCTAAAACAGTAAAATAAGCGGATTATTTAAGTGACTTTATTTAATTAAGAAATACCCCATATATTAACGATATTAAACTCTATATATATAGTTTATTATCGTTATTATATATATAGAGAGAGTTTATTATCGTTAAAAAAAAAAAATATATATATATATATATATATAGAGAGAGAGAGAGAGAGAGAGTTTATTATCGTTAATATACAGGGTATTTCTTAATTAAATAAAATTACTTATTTTACTATTTTATGAAAAGATATATATATATATATAAAATAGAGAATTCCAAGTATAATCACAATAACATCACAATATATTGGAAAATATTGTGAAATAAATAATGCAGAAAGAGAATAATAAGTAATAAATAAAATTCTATCTAATTTTCATAGAATGGTGAATAGCAATTAATCTACTGACGCAATAAAAAAAATATGATTCCATTTAAAAAAAAAAAAAAAAAAAAAAAAAAAAAACGTTAATGACCTTTGTATGTCCTCTACACGTCCTCTACACCTACAAGAAAACTAGCATCATCAAAAAATGTGCCCCTCTCGAAACCATTCAACTTCATCTGAATCATTTTCCGCTACACGTGATAATAATGACGTAAATCTAGATGGCAATATGTGGTGGAGCCACCCGGTACATCAGTATTAACAATGTAGTAAATAACTGAATATCCACAATTTCAGCCGCGATTACGACAACTGGGCGAGGCTGGGCAACGTCGGCTGGAGCTACAACGAGGTCCTCCCCTACTTCCTGAAATCCGAGGACAACCGGAACCCCTATCTGGCGAGGACGCCGTACCACTCGACCGGCGGTTACCTGACCGTTCAGGAATCACCATGGAGGAGCCCGTTGTCGATAGCGTTCCTGCAGGCGGGCCAGGAACTCGGCTACGAGAACCGTGACATAAACGGTGCGAATCAGACCGGTTTCATGCTCACCCAGTCGACGATCCGCCGTGGCAGCCGTTGCTCCACCGCCAAGGCGTTCCTCAGGCCGGTGAAGGCCAGAGGCAACCTGCACATAGCGATGAACACGCAAGCGCTGAGGATACTGTTCAACGGAGACAAAAGAGCCACCGGTGTCGAGGTGCTGCGCGACGGCCGCCAGCAAGCGATAAGAGTCAGACGAGAGGTCGTTCTGTCAGCCGGCACGATCAACTCCGCGCAGCTTTTAATGTTATCCGGGATCGGACCGGGGGAGCACCTGGCAGACCTCGGTATACCGACGCTGTCTGATCTGAGAGTCGGCGACAACTTGCAGGACCACGTGGGCCTCGGTGGGTTGACGTTCGTGGTGAACGAGCCCGTCAGCCTGAAGAAGGATCGTTTCGAGACGTTCTCCGTGATGATGGAGTACGTGCTGAGGGAGAAAGGGCCGATGACGAATCCCGGCGTCGAGGGGCTGGCGTTCGTCAACACGAGATACGCCGATCCGTCTGACGATTACCCGGACATGCAGTTCCACTTTGCACCGAGCTCGATCAACTCCGACGGCGGCGACCAGATCAAGAAGATCCTCGGCCTGAGGGACAGTGTCTACAACACCGTGTACAAGCCGCTGAACCACGCCGAGACCTGGTCCATTCTACCCCTGTTGCTCAGGCCCCGGAGCTCCGGGTGGGTGCGTTTGAAGAGCAAGAACCCGCTGGTGCAGCCGGATATCAATCCCAACTACTTCACGCACAGGGAGGACATGGACGTTCTGATCGATGGGGTGAGGATCGCGTTAAGGCTGTCCAACACCACGGCGTTCCAAAGGTTCGGCTCCAGGCCGCACACCATTCGCATGCCTGGCTGCCAGAGGTACTTGTTCGACACGTACGACTACTGGGAGTGCGCCATCAGGCATTTCACGTTCACGATCTACCATCCGACCGGCACGTGCAAGATGGGGCCAAGAAGCGATCCCACGGCTGTGGTTGATCCTAGATTGAGGGTTTACGGGGTGAAAGGGTTGAGAGTGGCGGACGCATCGATCATGCCGGTGATCATCAGCGGGAATCCCAATGCACCGACCATCATGATCGGCGAGAAGGCGAGCGACATGATCAAGGAGGATTGGATGTACAAGAGGAAACGATTCGTGGGGAGGTGATAGGTGATAGTCGTAGTGATGGGTTAGAACGGACTTCGCGCGAGGTAAAGTGTCTGTTCGTCCCAATTGTTGTCGAAATCTTGTGCACGATTGATCCAACTTAAGGACCGAGCGATTGTTGATTTTCATTGAAATTTTATAGATACGTCGACTTCCCACTAAATTTTGAGGAAATTGATAAGTAATTGGGAAAAATTGTAGATAAAACGGTTACGTTAGTTTCCTTGGTGGATTAGTCTCGGCCGAAAGCTTTAAATTTATTTAAAAATTCGTACAAAAGAGTAATTTTTGTTAGTGGTTAGCAATTCCACATATTTAGTAGAAATGTGAAATCAGGCAGCTGATAATTGTTAAAAAACGAATCATCTGCTACTTTTGTTATGGCATATCGACGAGATTCAATAACGAAGTAACAAAGTGTAAAGGAAAATTTTCAAAATGGAGGATGAATTCTTAACTCTTCATGGAAATAGATTTAACGTTAAATTTATTTCAATTTTAACACTAAATTAAATTTACAAAGACGTGCATCTAAGGATAAACATTTTCAACATTCGAACGTACTTTACGAGAAGACTTTCTGGTTTCATTATCAGCGAGATGCGAAAACTGAAAAGCCACTTAACACCGAGGCGTTACGATTACACTCAGACAAACCAAATGGACTTAACGTTATAATAACGATTGCATAACTTTCTCAAAATTGTTTGTCGTGGTGAATTTCTATTTAATTTACGGAGAATGCAATCGAAAGCATTTAGTACAATTTTTCCATGAAAGGACGTAGTGCGAAATTTTTTCCGAAGCTTAATTTTCCAGAAAAGTTGAATTTATAAATTTCTCTACTGTATCTGTTTTATAATATTTATAACATTCTAATTGTTCTACCTTTATTACAATAATACAATGGTAATGAATTTATCTTTGTAGAACTGTGAATTGTAAATTTAAAAAGTACAAATTCTTAATTTGCGATTTTATAAAGATGAATTTATTACTGTTGAAGTATAATAAAATATTAGACAATAAAAAATATCATTGTAATATACACAAGATGTAGCAAACAAATTTACAAATTCAACCTAATTCACTTATCGTTTTCTTACACTTTTATGAAAAACCGTTTCGTATCTGTTTAGACATAATTTTCGATACCACACTGTAATTAATATAAACGATATGTAAAGAGATTTTTTTCTACTGTGAAAGAATTAATTTAAACGTGCCATTTCCTATACAATACAATACAGTTGTAATTAATCTTCTATAAAATGCCAAAAACCATTGATAATATTACTATAGTATATATATTATACATACACATATATATATATATATATATATATATATATTTATGTATATTATATATATTATATATGTTATATACTTTTTATAGTAATTATAGTACTATATTAATATAAATTATTACACAATACAATAGAGTTGTAATTAATCTTCTATGAAATGCCAAAACCATCGATAAATTAATATAACACTATAGTAATATATTAATATATTACCATAGTATGTATATTATATATTTATATATATTATACATACACATATATATATATTTATGTATGTTATATATATTATATATGTTATATACTTTTTATAGTAATTATAGTACTATATTAATATAAATTATTATACTATACAATAGAGTTGTAATTAATCTTCTATGAAATGCCAAAACCATCGATAAATTAATATAGCACTATAGTAATATATTAATATATTACTATAGTATGCATATTATATATTTATATATATTATACATACATATATATATATTTATGTATATTATATATATTATATATGTTATATACTTTTTATAGTAATTATAGTACTATATTAATATAAATTATTATACAATACAATAGAGTTGTAATTAATATTCTATGAAATGACAAAACCATCGATAAATTAATATAGTACTATAATACTATATTATATATATTATATATTTATATATATTATACATATAATATATTTACGTATATTATGTATATTATATATGTTTTATATTTTTATAGTAATTACAGTACTATATTAATATATATTATTATATTAATTATTAATTTATTATTATATTATTATTACACGATTTTTTTTAAACTTTATTTATAACGAAAATAATTTTCCCCCGAGGAGAGTTGCCAGAGATTAAATAATATAAATACCAAACCACGTTAAAATTAAACTCGCGTGGTGTAAAAATACATGCTAGACCTGTACACAAGAAGGATTTGTATGTGTGTATATAAATATCCTCTATTTATACATCACTTTATTTATAATGTCGCTCATGTAAAGAATGTAAATAAAGCTCCATGGTTTAAACAATCTCCTTAATGGCTACCGTTCTTTCAACGTTGATGCGCGTTGAATTTCACGTCAACGAGCAGAGTCTATGATCGTTGTTCGAACTTTGACTGAAAAATGGAAAGATCATCCGATTTGTGCGCGAGTGAAGTCGATTCTATCAACGATTTGATGATCACTTATCGTTTCTTGTTGTTAAAATTTGTTTGATGACAAATTGAAATGACAGACAAATTCCTCAAGACAATATATGCAAAATGATGGAACAAAATATGCAAATTATAATCATGCAAATTATAATAAATGAAATTAACGAAATTACGAATAGACGAACGTCAAATCTTGCCACAAACCAATTACTTTGTTAAATCGACAGTGTAACAAGAAGAAACATAGCTGCGTCATACAAGTTTCTCATATTTATCTGCAACGAACAGCTGATAACTTCATGGAATTTTTGCATCGTGAATCGATAAGCCTCGATGTTCAATAATTACATACTGAATTCGTTGATACCGATTACTAGATTGCGGATTTTATTTATGCAATTTTCATAAATAAAATTTAGGAAAAAGGAAAATAGATGGAAAATTGTCTTCTCCTATAATTATTATAGTCTTGCATTCTGTGCATTTTTGCATCCTCAAATTTCTTACGAATGCATAAAAATCTACTTATCGCAATAAAAAATGGTTATTCCCGCTATTTTTATTATTAAGTGTATCTTTTGCAAAATAGATAAATGTTTTGTGGATTCTACAATTATGTATTTCGAAATGAAATTGGTTTTATCGATATTGGTAACCATTAGATTGCACGCATTTATGCAAATTTAAATTTCTACGTATGCATATCTGTTACAGAGAAATAGAACGTTCCATCGTTCAAATATTCTAAAAATTTTAAAAATTCTGGATGTTTTATGTTTTCTATAATATATTTAATTACATTATTGTATTGTATGTTACGCACAACAATATAGTAAGCAATAACTTACTTGAAATGACGAGTCGACGAGACAATAAGGTCGAAATAATTAGGCAGACTACCGCAAGATGTCTCATTGCGAATAGTCAAAACTCGAAGATAGGTAAGTGACACACAAACATAAATAAGGAAAATGGACTGGTCAAATAGCGCATCTAGGCCAAAAACACTACCGAAACTGCACCTCTAAACCTCGACAGAGTAAGAGCTACATTAATTGTTAAAGAACTTTTGATAATGGTTATTAAGCCCATCATCAAAATCACGGTATGGAATGCTACTAGCATTAAAAACAAACACATGGAACTACAAAAATTCATCACAGATTACAGCATCGACGTAGCTCTCATAACCGAAACATGGCGCTATTCCCCACGGATCATCTCAACCTACAAGGATACATCACCCGAAAGGATCGAACCACTGTACCAGGCAAACCTTAGAGAGGGGGAGTACTCATTGCCACAAATCATCTCATTCCCATAGAAAACACACCACCTCCCATCACCACTCGCATAGAAGCTATATCAGTCAAAACCAAAAACAATCCTTCCATTATATTCACGGCAGCATACGCACCCAACAAAATCGTCCCGGAGGACCTACATGAAATCACCACCAAACATCATAAAGAAATCTACGTTACCGGTGGTGATCTTAACTCGAAACACCAACTCTGGAATAACCTCAACAGGAATACCAACGGCGTCACACTAAAAAAACCACTCTGAATCTGAAAACTACGTCATACTCCACTTCCCAACGTTCTCATATAAGCAACCCAACTGCAAGCCCTCCAACCTAGATATCTTCCTCACCAACGCACCCTTCAATCACACAATTAAAACCATAGACGACCTGGCATCCAACCATCTCCCGGTAATCCTAGAGTTAGAAACTAATTGCTCCTCTAACAGACACAAGAAACCACTACGCATCAATTGGCAGCTATACACCAAAATCTGCAATGCGCACCACTGCACCAAAATCAACGAACCAGATGAAGTGGACAAACAAATTGAAAAACTAAAAATCAGCATGCACAAAACCTTCAGCAGAGCAACTCACTCACCTCCAACACAAACCCATCAAGCATTCCCAGAGGCACAACTAACCAACCTCATTAAACTCAGAAATTGCCATCGCAGAAAGTATCAGAAAACAGGCAACCCACTGAACAAACTTATCCGCAACATCCTAACTACAAAGATCCAAAAACTAATCAAGGAAATTCGCAACAACACTTGGCAAAAAAGACTCACGAGCATATCCAAACCTGATCATACCTTCTGGCAAACCTACAAACTAACAGGGAAAAGAAGCATAAATATTCCATCCCTCACTGACCCCAACTCTGAAAGCACATATTATTCGGACTTAGACAAAGCTGAATCAATAGCCAACACTTTTGCAGATACACACAACCAAACCTCTCGAATCATCTCACCACTAGAACAGGAAATCAACAAACATGCACTCAACATAGCCAACACAAACATCCCTGCAGAAATCATATGGAAAGAAACAAACATTACTCCCCAACTCATCAAGGACATCATCAGAGATCTCTCAAACACAAAAGCCTCTGGCCAGGACAACATCACAGCTCCAAAGCTAAAAAACCTCCCAGCTAAAGGTATCTTACAATTATACTACATAATGAGAGCATGTAGTCAACTCTCATACTTCCCAAACACGTGGAAAACTGCTAAAATCCTCCCCATACCAAAACCAGGCAGACCAAAGTCTGAACCAAACAGTTACCGACCCATCAGTTTACTCAGCACTCTCAGCAAAATACTGGAAAAAATCATACACCACCATCTACTCAAGCATCTAATCAATAACAACATCCTAACCCCGGAACAATTCGGCTTCAGAAATCAACATTCCTGCACTCAACAACTGCAAAGAGTTGCAGAGTTCGCTACAATGGAAATAAAAAAAAAACAGACTCACTCAAATGATCTTCATAGATATGGAAAAAGCCTTCGACACAGTCTGGCACAACGCACTCATTTACAAACTCTCTGCAATCAGTACATCAGTCACACTTATAAAAATAATACAAAACTACCTACACAACAGGAAAATGTATGTTACTCTGAAAGGCTCAAACTCATCCTTAAAACCTGTCAGTGCTGGAGTGCTGCAGGGCTCAGTCTTGGGCCCCACACTATACAACATATACATAAACGATATAGCTCGCTCCAAAAACACTCAAGTCGCCATGTATGCAGATGACATGGCAATATACGCATCCTTATGGTGCCCCAATCAAGCTACCAAGTACATTCAAGAACACGTTAACACTACATGCGCACAAATGGAAGCAGAAAATCAACCCACTCAAAACTCAAGCCATCACATTCGCAAGGAAAAAACACATCCTTAAAAACGAACATAAATATCCAAGGGCATGATATCCCATGATCCAACCAAGTTAAATACCTAGGACTAACTCTTGACAAGAAACTCAGATGGGTCTCCGCCATAGAAAAAAGAGCAACACTAGCATACCCAGCCTTAAAACGAATATATCCACTTATTAGCAAAAACAGTAAACTCAACACAAAAATTAAAATCCTACTATACCTCATCTGCATCAGACCAATAATAACATATGGACACCAGATATGGGCAGCAGCTGCCAAATCACACATACAAAAAATACAAAAAACCCAAAACAGAATTATACTAAACAAACCTCGAGACACCCCAATACCTCTGCTACACAAACTTGCAAAAATCCAATACATCACTGACTACATAAAAAGTTTCCGGAGCATATGATCACACGCATCATAATCCATTAATCCGTAACACAGGGAACTACCATTAAAATTTAAATGTAAAGCTAAACTTCCAAAGCACATTAATTACCAACCCTAACCCAACTCATGCACTTATACATGGACACGCAGATTTTTTGAAACTTTTCCTGCGAAACCTACCACAAGCTCACACAAGACACCAGCATACAAAAGAAGCAGCACACACTAAAACCTCTCAT